GGGGGAACGAATTGGCTGTACAGCTTCTCCTCGAGCGTGGGGCAGAGGTGAATGCTCAGGGTGGTCATTTTGGCAATGCACTACAAGCAGCTGCATATGGGGGGAACGAATCGGTTATGCGGCTTCTCCTCGGGTGTGGGGCAGATGTGAATGCTCAGGGCGGCGAGTTTGGAAATGCACTACAAGCAGCTGCGCGACAGGGGAACGAATCGGTTGTGCAGCTTCTCCTCGAGCGTGGGGCAGATGTGAATGCTCAGGGCGGCGAGTTTGGAAATGCACTACAAGCCGCTGAAGCATTCCGTTATAGATCGATTGTGCAGCTTCTCATCACACACGGGGCTGATCCCAATGCTAGGATTTCGGCTGATACGTGTAGCATGACCAACCAGGAGACTTTAAATTGTTAAACTACTCGAATATCCTATTTCTCGAGTGGCCGCTAGTTCTTAAAGTTGTGCCCTTCCTATCACACATTTGCTCACTATTTTCCTTACTAGTATTTCACACGACTACCCCGGGAAAGCCCAACTCCCGCCCGCACATGCCGCATTCCCCGCAGACTACCAGCCCACGAGTGTGCTCTATTACTCATGCGAGGAAACAACTACTCAGTTCCTGAATCCCATCTACCCTTCTACCGCCAACTATCCTTCAAGACTTCCCCCACTTCCTCCGAAATTTCAAATTACCTCCCGTGGGATTCACTCGAATATACAAACCCGGGTCTGTGGCCCTCACTGCGCGTCCGGCCTCCCCAAACCTGCTATCGCTCAATCTCATTTATCCTGCACTTAGTCCAATACCTCAAATACAGCCAAATACAGCCAGAGTTCCCAACCGTCCAGTCCGTCCGTCTTTGGGGTAGAATGGGACGGATTATAGCCGGCGGTCCGTACCCCCAGGAACGCTAGGACGGACTACCGAGGACTCCCGTCCTACTGCCTGAAATCCTATGAACAAAGTAACCTTATCAGCCACAATATTTCAACAATTTCTAAGGTTCTTTGTGGTATAATATGTTGTTTCCCGGCGGTCTCCGCAGTCGCCCGCAGTCCCCCATCGTCCCCCTTACCCACACTGTTTCACCCCGTAGGACCCGCCGTCCTCCACTTTCACCGCCCGAGACAGACTGCACATGGCCGCCCCGCTCCGTCCAGGGCTCTTGGCAGTCCCCCCGTGGGGCTCCTCCGGGCCCTCAGACGGTTGGGAACACTGAATACAGCCCCTCACTCCACCTTACCGAAGCCACCGGTGATAACTAAATGCCCTCATTTAACACCCTGCACTAATTGCCTCCTGCTTAACCCAATATCTTTACTATTATTGCCCTCTTTTGGGGTGAAAATTAGATACAGCTCGGATTGTATGCTGTGGGGTTTGGGGGTGCATCCGTACTTGCTGTGGGTGTGTGAATCTGTCAAGTGACTCTGATAGAAGGTGCAGCTTGATGAGAATTGCCCGGAGGAGGCCGGAAGAGATGTCAGGAGTTCGGGGAAGGGGGAAGTGTCGCGCTGACTTACCAATTCATTTGTTAGCTAGCTGGGCCTTTTATCAGGCTTTGGAGCTCCCTTACCTTTTTCCTATATTTCTTTACCCATATTTTTCTTCCTTCTTCCTAGCACAATAAGGCCGAAGTTACAGGTGCGCGAGGAGCTGTTGTTGAGGATAAAGTCTCTCCGCTTCGGTGATGGATCGTTTCTGGTCATGTTTTCTCTGTTCTTTATTTTTTATTTTTATTTCATCCTATCGACACCTGGTAAATGTATTAGTCATTGGGGCTACCCCAAGGCTATGAGAGCACATAGAATCCCCTATCGCGTTACGTTATCAAGCTTCCTCTGCGCCAAATTTGACTCCTGGTGTGAATTGATCCTGAGAAAGCCCTGCAGTCAGTTAACCGGGGCTGAAAACGATGAGAGCCCTCAACCAGGCCCCAGGCGGACCAAAGCTTTTCCCCGGCGAGATTCGACCCGATAGGCCACGGTCCACGTTAACCTAGGGCATGCGTTGGGTATACACGCGAAGCCAGCTAAGAGAGAGACGGGGGGCTAAACCAAGTTGGATGGGGTACACCCAGTTATTTTATCCCATCGATAATATGAGAACAAGGAGGGCTACTACTCGGTCGGTAACTCTAGAATGAGTGGAGGAAACTTAAACTTAATTTTATCCTGTATATATTCTATCTGCAGCACCCCTCCTACAACACCATTCTTTAGCCGCTTGCGGCGCATCCAATAAACTTCCGAATTCAGTATAGGGTCTGCTTCATGCGTTCAGACGAGCCCGTGTTGGGCGGGCTGCTGAGCTTCCGGTGTAGCAGAGCATTGGTTCATCTGTAACCTTGTTATATGATACCAGTGCCTATCAAGGATAGGCTTGAATCCCTCACCAACCAGAAGTCTATGGTTTTGTGGGCTAAAGAGTTAAGGACACCTACTAGAATAAGCATTCCATCATGAGACTTTGGTTGCCCCCATACCCATGAGGGTGGAAACGGATTTTTTTTTTACCCTTGGTTTCCAGCGGGGTCCGCATTTGCGCCTTAATAAGAGTTTTGGGTTCAATTAAATTTAGTAAACCATGTGTAACCCGGTTCGGAGCGCCCAAAGCTGAAAACCCGCAAGAGGGCTTCTGGCTGGTGGGATGGGCGGCGGACCCGAGAGCGCCACAGGCAATTAGAAGGAAAGTTAATAGAAGTAGTTGATTGTTTGGATTGCTCGCGACCCGATTTCACATCATCTATTTTTCTTACTAGTGCCACTGACCAGCGAACGAACTAGCGGCGGTTGAGGAGTGGGAGCAAGCAAGAATTCCCGAGCACCGGATGAATAGGGGTTAGCTTTGAACACATTATTGGATATTAAGCATTAGAAAAACTGGGAGTAAGCGATAGGAGTCATAAGTGGTAGTTCATACCCTCATGGCCTTCCTTATAAGTGTTGATATATGGTTTCTTTCTCCTCTCAAATGCTACTTCAGTTGCTTGTGTTTTTGTTCTCAATCCGGGTACCAGTTTGCACAACTTCATTATTCCTTTATTATTCCTTTTGTTCCTATATACTTTCTTGGAATGCCTTTGCTCCTTGTTGTGGAATCCCGGTGGTAGAAGCTTGTCTGAACTGCTTTATTGTATAGCTGGTCTATGGTCTATATCTTTCCTATTATTCTAGTCGATGCTGTAGGTAGTACGAACAATCTCTGCTGTGGTCTTTTAACTACTTCCCGTTCATATTGCAACAATAAGCAGCAAGCATCAATGAGTGACTCCTCATGATGCAGATCCGTGGTGCCATATTTTGTTCAATGTCTCTGTCGCACAGGTGGTTCCTAGCATAGGATGAAAGAACCTGGCTTCGGGCAAGTCGTAGTACTATCCGGGAAGCGTTTTTAGCATACCCTAAAACAGAATGCGAGAATGAGCTTTGATATCAGTTCCTGCCTTGTCGTGTGTCCGGTTGTCCGGAGCAACATAAAGACGTGTAAAAACTTGTGAACAGTGTATGAAGAAGAAGAAAACGTGCCGTTTCACAAGCCACTTGTACCGGATCTGGCTGCATCCCAACCTCCAACCAGCACCAGCACCGTGGGAATATCCCCACAAAACCGCGTTACAAATCTAATGTGCTGATCGACCTAACTCGCTAGGGGAGATAAGACAGCGTCCATTTCTACTACTCTCTGTCGTCCTTTGTTCTCCCCTGCGGTCTTCCGGAGGACATATATGACACTACCTCAATTTTGACAATCGGCACTCTCCCTCCCTAATTGTGGCCCACTCATGGGGTCCGAAATTGGAACAAACCATGGTCTGCTGTCCGGTCTCGCTTACTTCTCTTGGACGTCTGCCCCTGGGCCCTCATTAAGAAACACTGGCACTACCTTCCTGGGCGGGTAATATGGGGATCACTTACCCCCCCCTCCGAATTTTTATGCAAGATTTGTAACGCTCCGAACTTTCCTTGCGATACCCCCTCCCTCTTGGCAGTTATTGAGATACTGCGCTTTCGTGCCTATCCGATTGGGGACCGCAGCTTTGGGGTATAAATTGGTTCAAATCTCTTAAAATGAAATATAATCGACCCCAACCAGAAAGATTGTTCTCTCTTGGTCAACTTAAATCCCCTGCCCGACTACCCGATAAATTACTGAGAACTTATATCTAGCATCCTCTATATCGAATACACTGGTATATCTTTCGCGCTTACCTGGGGCCTCTGAGTGTACTTTCAATGGGTTATCTAAATTTTCGCCGCAAGATCGGTGGTACTTAGAGCTAGATTCCCAGTATCTCGTAGCAAGTCGGTACGTGTAAAATCTAAAGTTCCGGGGCAGCCAAGCTAATCTTGGACTTGGATGTTTATTGGGAGGAATGTTTTAAAGGAGTTATATTCTGGAATGGCATCCCGGCTACCAGGGGAAGGGGGGTTCATCATCATGATATATCACTCGACTTCTTATGCCCTAGCATATCTGACGATAGGGGTCAGTGGGTAGGAGCCACGATATATCGTCCCCCCTTGATAAAAGAACCCATATAGCAAAGCCTAATACTATGAGATGCACCCCCTCTGACACCGAGAACAACACGGGAAGGATCCCCCAAGTCGGAAATTCCAGGATGTTTTTGCACATCTGTTGCCCCGCTGTCGGCATATCATACAAGATTTGGGAACAGTGGTAAGACCGGAGAAGCAAGTGTGGAGCTGGCTAATATCGTTTAAATTTATCATGAGTTGTGGGGTGTGAGAAGAATGCATAACTTACACCGCTTATAGCTCGTTTGTCTCGTAAATAACTGAACATTCGCAACTAACTCAGCGACTCAATCCTCAGCCCAGAACTAAAGTCTTCAAGGAGGAACCTCCCTCTATAATGCTAAACAACATAGTCAAACCCATTGACAAGATGTAGGTAATTTCACAGCACGGTTAGGAACACATAACGGATAAATGATTCCCATTCGAGAAATGGTAGGGGCTATGGATCCGATGTCAGTGTATCAATGGTGGTACTTTAGATATTGAATATTTCCCTATAGTGCTCTACTTCCATCCGCGACTCGTGGTGGAAAGCCCGGCGTTACCATCGCTAGCACAGAAAGAGCCCCATGCTCTTATTTATCTAACCATGTCAGGAATATGGAAATTGTGAAAAAAGGGAAAAGGTTGAATAGGTTTTTGGTATTCACATTTGTTTGGATATTTTGCCACTTCAAACATGCAGGAATTTCGGTAAGACATACGGGGCAGACTTTACTTAGGAGCACTTCTCATAATTTTTATCCTTTCTTTTTTAATCTTTTCGGACTAAGTAAATAACATTAGTTGATTTGGTTCCGATGCTGGGGGTGTCGCTATGTTTGGTTATTTATGCTAACATACAATACTATAGGACCGCTCTCCAGGCGCTTCTCCTCGCGATATTTCCTTTACCTTCCCGCACTACACCCTGCTGCAGGAAGAACCATCCCAAGTCCGCCTCAGAAAGCCCTCTCGGCAGCCCAAAAACAAGATGTGTAGATACAGGGGTGGGGTCGAGTGTCGCTACGCGTTGCCCCTCGCGATTCTGAGCGGGGGGGATTGAAAGAATCGGTCTGGCAACGCGAGCAACCCGTGATAGCAGGTTAGGCCCTGGTGTGGAAGGAGTTCGGGGATCGTGGGATTTACTTGGGACAGTAGGGTATTTGGTTGTGTGGGACCCAAGGCATTAGGGGGTGGTGGGGGGTGACGGTGCCAGGGCCAGATGTCCGGTGGACTGAGCAAGAGGGGGGTAGGCTATCGTGATACTTGGGTGGAATTGTTGCTCCAGCCAGTCCTTTTGGACAATCACTCATATGATCGGGGGTCCTGGAGAAGAGGGCGCAAAAGTAGCGGGCTGTGACTAACAAGCAGTCTCTAAAACGGGCAGCAATCTCTAGAGAGCCTTGGGAAGGGGGGGCGGGGGAGGGGGTAATCATGAGATGAACCGTAAGGGACGAAACAGGGGAGCAATGGTCTGCTCCACTGTAGTTGCCGAACCCTACTACTTTATAGACAAGTAGGCTACCTAGGGGAAAGGGGTGCTCTTGTGAGCATAGCAAGGAACCCGAAAGGCCACCTGCGGGCACGTTATAGAAACAGGGACATCCTACCCTCCTAATGAGTGATGAGGAAGTGCTGGGTGTGGGCTGTGGGGAATGAGGGAACGAAAGAGAAGAAAGGAGTTGAGAGTGTTATCCAGAGTTTCAGGCGGCCGACGGTGGGTCCTGGTGTTCGTGACGGGAGAAGTGAAACTGGGTTAGAGGCTAACTGTAGGGAGCAAAATCAAATAGCTATGTTGACGTAACATGCTTTATTACCTAGATAGATAAGGCACACAGAGCACCCCCCCCGATCTTCGCCATCCCGGCCCCCGGCCGGATACATTTTCATTTGGTGGCCGAGCGTGCAATGAAGAGAGAATTCGGTTATTAACCAATATCACCGGACTGCAAACTTGTTTCAAGGCTAGAAGGCCGGGTATGAATGGCAAGCGGCAGGTGGCGGAATGCGGTAGGAGAGGACGGGACCAAGTTTGAGTGATCGAAAGTAAAGAGCGGTGGGGAGACTGGGAGCCAGATACAAACGTGGGAGGCCGAGTGCGGGATCGAGGGCCGAATGCGATGAGCGGGGTCGGGAGAAGTGGTATTAGTCTCTCCGGTACGCTCGACCGTGTCGAAGCGAGTTCAAAGCTGGAGGCGGAAGCAGTGTTCAATATTTTTTGACGAGTGGGAATCTGGGCGAATGTGTACTCGAGTACAGCGAGAAAACGTAGACCCCATAGTCGTCCCTTTCTCAGGGGTCGTCGGTGCTGAAGCCTGTCAAAAGATTTTGTTTCGCTCAGAATCTCCACGGTTTCCTTGGAGGAAGGAAGGAAAAAAGTTGAACAAGCCGAAGGTTTGACGAACTGGCGGCCCTTGGGAAGACGGTTCCTCATAGTCGCTGCCAGCCCGTCGTTCGTCGCCCCGGGGTCCGGTGCCGTACCTGATGATGTTTTCGCGATTCTGCTCGGGCCTTGGGGTAGGGAAAATGATGCGGAGGATAGGAGGAAAATTCTCTGGGAGCGGCAACCAGATGCTGATCCGGAACCGCACAAGGTTCATTGGTGGGGGTGCTTGAGTTAACAGGGTACTCGAGTACAGGCGGTGAGTTACCGGTGGGTATCGGCCCAAGGACAATACTCGTACAGTACAACCCCGGAACGGCTAGCCGCATTCAGCCTCACGGTTGACAGGGGAGTGCAAATTTTTTCACGTCGGGGAGCTGACACATCGGGTGGGGGACTCGGCACTCTAAAAGCACTTTTTCAACACTTTGGCTGATTAAGCTTTCTCATGTCCCACCTGATCTGCTGGGTGAACCAAATGTGCCGCTATTAGAAAGTGAGGGGGCTTTCCTATTGGTGGCTGCTACAGAATGTGGCATACCCTATTCAATTCTGTGGGGCAAGGTGCAAGTGCGAGTACCGGTATCGTATCACTCGCGCGCGATAATACGAGTAAAAGCACCGGTATTCGGGTAACGGTACTAGTACGGTGGGGGTACACTTGAGTAGCCTGCAGCCCGCCATATGGCAGTTCCAATACCACTACCGGTATTGATTCCTATTGATCCCGATACGATTCGACTTCGCCAAAACATGCAGGGGTTGTCCGGACATTCCGCTGATCTATCACGGGTAGACTACCGGTACATGTACCGTAGTTAATCAGCCCAAGTAATGACCTGGGAATGGAGAAAGAAAAAAAACTCAGCACAGTGCCGAATCCCGCTGAATTATCCTCATTAGAAACATGATGCGGGCTTGGCGATCATGAGGGTTGATTGGCTGATGGCGGCTCTTCCATTGAGAGACGGATTTCGCGGGGCGGAGCTAGGCATGGCTGTCCCCGGGAAGACTTGTGGCGGCACACGGATCCGCTGTGGTACTTGTACCGTACCGTACTTGTACGAGTACTCGTGCGTGACGTACCGTATTCTCCGGTGAGCTGACCCCGGTCTCGGAGGGATTTGTATACGGTATGTGTCGGAAGAAATTGTTTTCCTGATTTTTACGCACGCAACCGAACATAATCCCCTTGGCGTGCTGCAAATTGGGTTGGGGTCGGATACGGTAGTACGAGTGCTATTTACCGCGCTGGGGAATCTAACCTCTCTGTCTGGACTGCGCTTGAGTACTGCACTTGCAACTTGAGCAGTAGCATTTCGAGTGCATGAGTGCTGGGTATGATACTATTACTGCCGATATTCTCTTCAGTTGTGATGTAAACACTAGCATGTGACTCATTCTATCGCTAAGCAGGAGGTGCAGCAAGGAAAATTACACCAATGATGCTTGCTGCATCCCATCGTTACTAATCATATTGTCTAAGCTGGGGGCTAATCTGCTTGAGACCTCGAGTACCGTACCGGTACTTGCAATGGTTAGCTTGCAGTCGTACCCACAGCGACTAGGCGTGCAGCTGCAGTTTTTGTGTGTGAGCGCTGGCATTTGGGAGCCCCACTAACGGTGAGCTTAAAAAAAAATTTCCCCGCAATGAAACCCTCTACGACTAGTTGCTGTTTTCCACATCTTTGAATCCGCAGTCGAAAACTATAACTCGAAAGAGTCCGCTGAAGCTTGAAGGCCCACTCACCACAAAAGCGAATGCCAGCTTTTACTCGTCTCCCACCGCTAAAAAAATACAGAGCCATCATAGCTACACTTTTGCGCTTTCCCGCTTGGACTTGCAGCAAGAAAAGAAATGGCAGACGCCTTCTCCGTGGCTGCCAGCGGCTTGGCTCTCATTCAACTCAGTGCTAAGGTTTGCGAGCTTTGCTATTACTACTACGACGCGGTCAAGGGGAGCCAACAAGATTTCAAGAAACTGGGGGACGAGATTAAAAGCATCCATCAACAGCTCGAGGAAATCCGAATCCTTGCCGCCGGAGACGATGAAAGCAACCCACAATACCCTAGCCTTCTGGAATGGACAAAAAACGAGAGTTTAAAAGATTATAAGGCGGCCTTGGAGGAGCTGAAGGAAAGGTTAGATGTCCCGGGATGGAGGAAATCCTCAAGAAAGCTTCTTTGGCCTTTTCGCAAACCCAAAATGGAGTGTTACCTGAGCTTGGTTGAAGAGCAGAGGTTGAAACTTCAACTATTATTGACTACAGCCACAACGTAGGTTATTTATTCTTCTGCCCACCGGGAATCTACCTTCTCCACTTCCTTTTTGCTTCGCGGCAAGGCTAACTAGTAGTTTAGGAAGACTGTAACAAAGGTGTTGCGGAAACTAGATGGTACTTGGTCACATTGCCCCTAACCCTGCCAATGATTTTCATTACTAATATCAGATATTTCTAAAATCGCAGAGAGAGAATTGCAGAAAGTACGGAAATGGCTTAACGTTGTTGATCCTGGTGCCAATTTTTCATCCGCCCTTGCTCTTCGTGAACCTGGTACGGGAAGTTGGCTGCTCAGGGGCCATGAGTACATTGATTGGAAGGAAGGTAGAGGAGGAGTTCTCTGGCTTCATGGAATACGTGGGTGCACGGACGAGTGAAATCCTATGTTTGAAGAACGTCACTAACGTATGCATCTCGTAGCCGGATGTGGCAAGAGCGTCCTAAGGTAAGAATTTAATCGGGTATCCGGAGCCCCAATATTATTTCCTGCTTGCTAACTCACTCCTTAGCGCTACTGCCATTGAAGATGTTAAAAATCTGTGCGACACGAACGATGATTACGCATTGGCCTATTTCTATTTTACCTTCAGCGACTCTGAGAAGCAGAACCTGCTCAATATGCTTCTGTCTATTGTTGGCCAGCTACTGGAAGGGATTTCGGACCGTGGCTTCCCCGATGAGGTTATGAATCTGTATCAGAATTCCAAGGAAATTGGAAAGTCAACAGATATCAAGGCCCTAAAATATGCGTTTTCGCAGATGATAAGACTCTCCAAAAGGACCTTTATCATCTTCGATGCCTTGGATGAATTCGCAAGGGACACACGCGAGGGTCTCCTATCTTGGATCAGGGAGCTTACGGTTGACCATAGTGCGGGATCACTTTCCATTCTCGTCACCAGCCGTCCCGAGGCCGATATAGTGAGATCCCTGGAACCACTTGCCACTTTTGCGATATCTCTACAATCCGAAACTATCAATCCGGACATCCGGGCTTTTATACAGAACTCCCTAGACTACAAGGACAGCTTCAAGAAATTTACCGAAGAGATTAAGGGCGAGATAGAGGACACGCTCATTGCTCACTCGCAGGGAATGTATGATATACTCGACTCCTGAATTTCCAACTTACGCTTACATAAGGTTGGATATATTAGGTTCCGATGGGTGGTTTGTCTTTTACGGACTCTAGAAGATTGCATTGCGCCAAAAGATGTGAGAGCTGCATTGAAGAAACTCCCGAAAGACTTGGATTCTGTCTACTCGAGGATCCTGGAGGGCATCCCTGAGGCACAGAGGGAATACATGCAGCGAGTGATGCATTGGCTCACATTTTCGGCTGAACCTTTGACATTGGGCCAGCTTGCGGAGGCTGCCCAGATCGAATATGTCGTCGATAAATATGGCGAGGATTCTGAACCACTTTTTGATAATAAGTCCCTCGTGAGCATTTGCCCAAGCCTTATTTGCTTCGAAGACTCCAGGGACGATAAATCCCACCCCCGGGAAAGCTGCCGATTACGACTAGCGCATTTCTCGGTAAAGGAATATTTGATCTCCGACAGGGCATCTCAGGGCCCCAGTGCCTACTACCATATTTCGGAGGATAAAGCCAACTTACTGATGGGCCATGCCTGTCTTAGCCGAATACTGCGACATAGTGAGCAAGGTACGATACGCGGGAACAGAGTCGAAGAAACATCGTTTCTCTACCATAGCGCTCGCTATTGGTTCGTGTATTTTCGATCTATCGAGGTTACGGCACCCCTCCCACTCTCCAATGCCGCGTTGAAGGTCCTCAAGCTTGGCCGAGGCTGGCTAGATATATATGACCCAGATCGTCCCTGGCGGCGCGAATTCCAGGATTCCGGGGATTACCCACCAGCAATATACTATTCCTCCTTGATAAATTTAGTGATGGCCTGCGAATTACTAGTCAATAGAAGGGAGGATGTAGTAACTTTGAATTACCAGGGCGGCTGTTATGGCAATGCACTGCAAGCGGCAGCAACACAGGGGAACGAATCGGTTGTGCGGCTTCTCCTTGAGAATGGGGCGGAGGTGAATGCTCAGGGTGGCCGTTATGGAAATGCACTACAAGCGGCCGTAACGCAGGGGAACGAATCGGTTGTGCGGCTTCTCCTAGAGCGTGGGGCGCAGGTGAATGCTCAGGGGGGGCATTACGGCAATGCACTACAAGCTGCTGTAACGCAGGGAAACGAACCGGTTGTGCAGGTCCTCCTCAAGTGCGGGGCAGAGGTGAATGCTCCCAGTGCCGAATATGGCGATCCACTGCAAGCAGCTGCATTTCAGGGAAACGAATCTGTTGTGCGACTTCTCCTCGAGCATGGGGCAGAGGCGGATATTCAGGGTGGCCATTATGGCAACGCACTACAAGCAGCTGCATATAGGGGGAACGAATCGGTTATACAGCTTCTCCTCGAGTGTGGAGCGGAGGTGAACGCTCAGGGCGGCCGGTATGACAATGCACTCCAAGCAGCTGCATATCGCGGGAACGGATCGGTTGTGCAGCTTCTCCTCGAGCGCGGGGCAGAGCCGAATATTCAGGGCGGCTATTTCGGCAATGCTCTACAGGTAGCCGCGGCAGATGGAAATGTATCGGTTGTGCAGCTTCTCCTCGAACGAGGGGCAGAGGTTAATTCTCAGGGTGGCCATTATGGCAACGCACTACAAGCAGCTGCAGTGAGGGGGAATGAACCAGTTGTGCGGCTTCTCCTCGAGCATGGGGCAGATGTGAATGCTCCAGGTGGCTATTATGTCAATGCAATACAAGCAGCTGCAAGGGGAGGGAATGAACCAGTTGTGCGACTTCTCCTCGAGCGTGGCGCTGAGGTGAATGCTCATGGTGGCGATTATTGCAATGCACTAAAAGCAGCTAAAACATTACGACATGAATCGATGGCGCGGCTTCTCCTCACACACGGGGCATATCCCAATGCTATGACTTCGACAACATAATATACGCAGTACAACCAGCTAGGGGGCTTTTAATTGTTCAACTACTAGATCATTATAATCCTCGGGTAGCTGGTAATTCTTGATGCTCTGCCTTTCCTATCCCGCATTTGATTGCTCTCTCTTACTGGTATTTCACATGACTACCGCGGGGGGGGGGGGGGTAACCAGCTCCTAGCTACACACGCCGCATTCCCGGCAATCTACCAGCCCATGACTGTGCTCTATTACCCACCTCGGGCAAATAATTACTACTCAATTCTAGAATCACACCTACCCTTCTGCCACCAGCTACCTTTGAAGACTTCCGCCACCTTCCCCGAAATTTCAATTTACCTCACGATGGGTTCACCTGAATATACAAACCCGCATCTGCAACTCTCTTTCCGCATCCGGCCTCTCCAACACCTCCACTGGCATCCCTCGGCCTCCTTTATCTTGCTCCTCGTCTAATCCTCCAAATTCAACCCCCCTCGTTCCATACCGCATAAGTTGCCTGCGCCCGCTGAATGTCCAAAATTAACTCACAGCACTGATTGGCTCTTGTTTTTTCTTATATCTTTCTTATTATTTTCTGCTTTTGAAATGGAGATTGTATGCACCTCGGGTTGTATACTGTGGGTTAGGGGATATATCCATACTGACTATCAATAGGTGAATCTGTCAGGTGATCCTGACGGGAGGAGCCACTTGAATAGTATTGCTCCGGAGGCGGTGAGAAGGGGTAAAAGGAGTCCGGGAGAGGTGGAGAGTGTCAAGCTGGTTCACGCATTTATTTATTCTCTAATTGGGTTTCGTCTCGGAGTGTGCAGGAGCAGGGCTTTGGAGCTCCTTCATTTTTCCTATATTTCTCTGCCCCTGCCTTGATTTCTATTTCCAAGGGGAGTAAGGCCATGATTGCGGGCTCGTGGAGGGGACTATTCCGTAGGGAAAGGTGTCTCCCTCGTTGCCGTGGGATGGATTGATTGTGGCCCCGTTTTATTCTACGCTTCGTTTTCTTTTTTTTTTTACGGGTGTATCACTCTATAGATACCTGATCAATACATTAGCCGTCGGGACCAGCCCCACGAGTATAATAATACAAGGGATCACCGATTGTAGTACCGGACTCCCTCCAAGTCAATTTTGGCGACAGGTATGAATTGACCGGGAGCAAGCCCTGCGATTCGTTAGCCGGAGTTGGAAATGAGCGGAGCCGACTATGCCTAAGGCTCGTAAAACCCCCGCCTGGCTCGGCTCAACCCAACAAACCGGAATCCGGGGCCAGCCCAGGGAACCATTTGGGCCCGCACGTGATACTAACTAAGGGAGGTATTGAGTGGTTAAAGCGAGCTGGGCGGGGCACGACCCGTTATCTTGTCTCCCAGATAATACCGATGCTAGGAGGATTAACACTCGGTTGATAACTTAAGAGTGAAGGGAGTTTAGACTCGTTCTTATGCTGTATAAATTCTATCTATAGAACCCCCCCCATAACCTCCTTCTTTAGCTACCTGCGTTAATTCAAATAGGGTTTTGAATAAAACATGGAACCCGCTTCACACATCCTGGTTCCGACGCTTGCTCCTCATTAACAGAACAAGCCCGCGTTGGGCCTGCTGCTGGGCTTTTGGTGCAGAGGACCTATCGTTCTTTCCCGAGCATCACGTGTACCGTCAGCGTCGATTAGGCATATACTTGGATGGTTAGTAATTAAAAGTTTATTGTTTTCTGCGTCAATCACATAGGGGACACTAGCTGTAACTAGCATTTTGTGAGGAGACTTTGGTTGTTCCACACTTCTGAAGGTGGGAGCGCATCCCCTACCTCCGGTGCCCGACCGGGTCGGGGGCATTCATGGTAATTTAAGATTTAGGTTCAATTCACCCTCCTGGCATGCCTGGACCCCCACCTCGGTCTTCATAAAGTTGAAAATCCAGAACCGGCAGGGGTTGAGGGGCGGAGGAGCGCTGGATATCCGGAGTGCCGGGTGAAAGAGGGTTTGTTTTAAACCCATTATCGGGTATTGAACTTTGGAAAGATCGGGAGCGAGCGAGAGCAATAACAAGTTGCAGCTCATACCCGGTGACCATCCTCGTGAGCAATTAGTGGGTTCTCACGGTGGAGGTTTGTGCTGCTATATCTTATTCACCGTTCCTGTTGGACAGGTAGTTCCCGACGCAGTATGAAAAGATTACCTTCTGGTAAATCGTAGTAGTGTGTGGGTCTTGGTAAAACTAGCTGATATCTCAGCCGAGTGATCGAACAGGAGGAAAGTGGGATGGGTCCGGGGTCAACGGGCCGGATAGGCACCCTAAACCAAGGGGTCTCTTCCCGGGGAGTTATTGCTGTCGTAAATCTGAATAGAGTAGGTAAAGTAGAGAATCTTTTGTAGATCTCTTCCATTTCTGACCTAAGCGGGATACCGTACAGTACTGTACTCGAGTATGGTACTCGTTCGGCAACACAGCGTGCGACACGGACGAAATTCGGCTATTAACCGATGTCTACTCACCGCCAACTTGCCGCAAAGGCTGGAATGTCAGCTACGAGTGTCGAGTGGCGGGTAGTAGATTGGGATAAGGGAGGTTAGGACCGATTGTGTGCGAGAGAGAGTAAAGCGGGGTGGGGGGGTCGAGAGCCTGATACTAACGGCAGAGACGGGGGTCGGGTGCGGTACCAAAGGCCGAATACGATAAGCGAGGTTGGGACGGGAAGTGATGTCAATCTCTCCGGTACACTCCACAGTATTGAACTGAATACAAAGCTGGAAGTAGGAGTAGTGTTCAATATTTCTTGACAAGTGGGAATCCGGGCGAGAATGTGCAACAAGGAAACATATAATAGAGTAGATCGGGGTATCATCGTTACAGTTGTCCCTTTCTTACAGGTCGTTAGTGCTAGAGCCTGACAAAAAATTGTCTCAGTCAGAATCTCCAGGGTTTCCTTCGGGGAAGGAAATTTTTAAAATACCATCAGTCAGGAGATTAACAAATTAACGACCGAAGCGAAGACGGTTCCTCATAGTCGCTGCCAGTGTGTCGTTCGTCATCCTGAAAATCTAGTGCCGTACTTAACGATGATTTCGTAAATATAATTTAGCTCTGGGTTTTGAGATGGGGGAAATGAGTTGGGGGATACCGCAGGAGGGAAATTCTCTGGGGGTGACCAAGTGCGGAATTGGAGCAGCGGGGTAACCGCTGTACGATACGAAGGATTGCCTGCACCGATACCGGTGGTTTAAACCCCCGTGGGCGAGGAGCTCTGGAGCCGCATCAGGTTTATTGGTCGCTTAATAGCTGCTTACCCTAATATTTGTGATTTCGATACTAGCCCATGGACAATACCGGGAGAGGGGAGTGTGCAAATTTTTCACGCAAATTTTTCACGTCGGAGAGATTATGGATCCGTGGGAAACTTGGCACTCGAAGAACACTTTTTCAAGACCTGGGCTGGATGTCTCTCATGGACATTGCCCTATCGGATTCTGTGCAGCACGGTGCGAGTAAAAGTACCATACGAGAAGACTTGGCTAGCCTGCAGCCTGCACCTGTTATTTTTGGGTAACCGCTGGCAGCTGGGAGCCCCCGCTCTCGGAAGACTTAAAAAGAAAACACTGCCCTGGATACCATAGATGCGCTCCACTTGCTGTATTCCACCACATCATTGAATTTGCGGTCAAAAAGTGTTCCTCAAGAGTGTCGGAAGGTCCGCCCACTTCAAGACCGAGCACAACTTTTTCCTAATTCTTCACTCCTGAAAATTACTGAGCTATTGGAGCCACACTTCCGCGCTCTCCCTCTTAAGCCTACCTTGCTCGTGGCGAACGAAATGGCCGAGCCCTTCTCCTTCGCTGCCAGTGGCGTGGCGCTCATTCACCTCGGCGTGAAGGTTTACAAGCTTTGTGATGACTACTGCGAGGTAGTCAAGGAGAGTCAGCAAGACTTCAGGAAACTGGGAGATGAGATTCGGGGTGTTGACCAGCAGCTAAAAGAAATACAGAGGCTTGCTACGCAAGGCGATGAGAGCAACCCGCAATACCCTGAGCTTCTCGAATGGACGAAAAACGAAAGCTTGAAAAGTTATACCAAGGCCCTCGAGGAGCTTAAGGGCAAGTTAGATGTTCCAGGATGGAGGAAATCCTCGAGAAAATATATTTGGCCTTTTCACAAACCCAGGATGGAGCATTACCTGGGGTTGGTTGAAGAGCAGATATCGAAGCTTCATCTGCTATTAACCACAGCCACAACGTAGGTTATTCATTATCCAGCCCTCTACGAATTTAACTTCTCTACCTCCTTTTTTTTGTTGCAAGGCTAACTATTGTTTAGGAAGACGGTAACAAAGGTGTTGCAAAAACTAGAGGGTACCCAGTCACATTATCCCTACCCCTGGCGATAGTTTTTTTTTTTTTTTTTTGCTGATATCGGATATTTCTAAAACCCTAGAGAATAAATTCCAGGAAGTCCAAAGATGGCTTAACGTCGTTGATCCAGCCACCAATTATTCATCCGCCCGCGCAGTTCGTGAAACCGGTACCGGGGATTGGCTAGTCAAGGGACCTGAGTACATCGATTGGAAGGAAGGCAGAGGGGGGGTTCTCTGGCTTCATGGCATACGTAAGTCTAAAGATGAGTGAAGCTTATGCTTCGAAGAATGTCATTAACATTTCTCTCTTGTAGCTGGATGTGGAAAAAGTGTCCTGAGGTGCGAACCTAACTGCATATCCGGAGGCGAAGTGTGACTTTTCTATTGCTAATTCACTCTTCAGTGCCACTGCCATTGAAGACGTCACACATCTGTGCAATGCAAACGATGATTACGCTCTTGCTTATTTCTACTTTACCTTCAGCGACTCCGAGAAGCCGAAATTGTGCAATATGCTCCTGTCCCTTATTGGTCAACTTCCAAAAAGTCCTTCAGATCGGGGTTTGCCGGGTGAAGTTGTAGACTTTTATAATCGCACCAGGGCAATCGGAAAGTCGGCAGATTCCAACGCTCTGAAAGTTCTCTTGTCGCAGATTATAAAGCGTTTAAAGAAGACGTTTATCATTTTAGATGCCTTGGACGAGGTTCCTAAGTCCGAGCGCAAGGACCTGCTATCTTGGATCAACCAACTTCCCGC